TTGCTCTTTATTTGTGTAATGGAAATTCTTGCTCTTTTTGCAAGAACACAGCTGATTTTGGTTGTTGGGATGGTTTTGCAATGTCCCCTGAGGGGGAAAAGGTCAGCATCCTCCAATTTGCAGATGATACATTATGCTTTGTGGATGTTTCTCCTGCTTAGTTGGATCTAGTCCTTGGGATCTTAACCTGGTTTGAGGAGGTTTCTGGGCTTAAAGTTAATTTGAACAAAAGTCAAATCATTCCAGTGGGTCAAGTTGCCAATTTAGATGACTGTGTTGAGGCTTGTCGGTTATTTTCCTCCGTGTGAAATATCTGGGCCTGCCCTTGGGGGCAAATTGGTCTTCCTCCTCATTTTGGGACCTAGTCATTGAAAGATTGGAGAAAAAATTAGCTTCCTGGAAGGCAAGATATCTCTCTTTTGGGGGTAGGGTTACTCTGATAAAAAGTATCCTTTCTAATCTGTCCACTTATTTCTTGTCTCTTCTCCCCCAAACAAAGTAGCAAAAAAAATTGGAGCAGCTTCAGAGGAATTTTCTTTGGAGGGTTTGGGAAGAGGAGAACAAAATTCACCTAGTCAAGTGGGACCAAGTGTGTCTTCCTAAGGCAGAAGGTGGCTTAGGAATAAGGAAACTGGAGATCTAGGGACCCCCCCTCCAATTTGGGGTAACTCACTTTGGAAAGGCATTGTTATTAGTGCAGTAATGGAAGAGAAGAGGAGAAGAGAGAGGAGAGAGAGAAGAGAGAGAGAGAGCAGAAGAGAGGAGAAAAGATTGAGAGTCAAAAGCATGCTAGCGGCACCAACAATTTTGTTATATATACCAGGGCGACAACAACTAAAAAGTAAAAGGGTAAAAGTACAATAGTACCCCTGCGGTACTATACTTAGGAAAATACAAGCTTTCAACACTCCCCCTCAAGTTGGGACATAAATGTCAATCATGCCCAACTTGTCACATAAGTCATAATGCCATGAATGGTGTAACCCTTTTGTAAAGATGTCTGCAAGTTGATCCTCAGAGCTGACATAAGGAGTACACACTTCCCCTATGATAACTTTCTCTCTGGTAAAGTGTTTGTTGACTTCGATGTGTTTAGTTCTATCATGCAGCACTGGATTAGCAGCAATGTTTATGGCTACTTTGTTATCACAGAATAGGGTCATAGGTCCGTTCACTAGAAAACCCAACTCACTCAATAGATTCTTTAGCCACACAATTTCAGCCACTCCATGAGCCATTGCCCGATATTCAGCTTCAGCACTAGATCTAGCTATCACATTCTGCTTTTTGCTTCTCCAGATAACTAGGTTTCCTCCTATGAACGCACAGTAGCCACTAATTGACTTTCTGTCATTTAGGGATCCTGCCCAATCTGCATCACTGTACACTTCAACTTTCAGATGTCCGTGCTTTTGAAACAACAAACCAGCGCCTGGGAACTTCTTAAGATATCTGAGAATTCTTTCTGCTGCTTCAAGGTGAGTGGTCTTGGGAGTATGCATGAACTGGATAAGAACACCAACTGCATAAGCAATGTCGGGGCTGGTCAAAGAAAGATATAACAATCTTTCTATAAGTCTTTGAAATTGTTTCATATCCTTGATAGGTTCGCCTTGGTAGTCACCTAATTTGTGGTTAGGATCAATAGGGGAATCAACTGGCTTCACTCCTAATTTTCCTGTATCCTGAAGTAGATCTAGGACATACTTCCTTTGGGAAATGAAGATACCCTTTTGTGAGCGGGCAACTTCAATTCCAAGAAAGTATCTTAGAGGACCTAGATCCTTTACTTCAAACTGTGTAGCAAGAAAAATCATCAACTTTTGTATTTCATCATTCCAATCGCCAGTGATAATTATATCATCAACATATACTATCAGAGCAGCAATTTTCCCTTCCCCTCTTTTCACAAACAATGTGTGATCAGATTGACATTGCTTGTATCCTTTCTGCTGAACCGTTGCATGGAGTCTGCTGAACTAGGCTCTCGGTGATTGTTTCAGCCCGTATAAAGACTTCTTCAACCTGCACACTTTCTGTTCATTGCCTTGAGCCCAAAAACCAGGGGGTTGTACCATGTAAACTTCCTCTTCAAGGTCACCATTTAGGAATGCATTCTTGATATCAAGCTGATGTAGATCCCAGTTAGTATTAGCAGCAAGGGATAATAGGACTCTAATGGAGTTCATCTTGGCAATGGGTGCAAAAGTCTCTGCATAATCAACTCCATACACTTGTGTAAACCCCTTTGCCACTAAACGAGCTTTATACCTCTCCACAGTGCCATCAGCCCTATGTTTGATTGTGAACACCCATTTACATCCAACTGGATCCTTTCCCTTAGGAAGATCTACTAGTTCCCATGTGCCATTTTTAGGTAAAGCATTAATTTATTCCTTCATAGCATTTGTCCATTTAGGTACTAAAAGAGTTTCTGCCACATTCTTAGGAATAGGAACACTGTCAATGGAAGTGAGAAAGGCCTGAAAAGAGGGTGAAATATTTTCATAGGAAACAAAGTGAGAAATGGGGTGTTTAGTGGTACTAGATCTAACACCTTTCCCGTGAGCAATAGGAAGGTCAAGGTTATTGGCAACAGAGGTATCAATAGCAATAGGGTTAGGGACATCGATAGGAACCAAGATACCTGAGTGAGTATGATCCACCCCTGGGGAGTTTGATGGCATTGGAGGTACAGCTTCTAGGTTCTCCATAGCTCTTGAACTTGGTTGGCCTTTGTGACGACGAAAGAAGACACAAAAAGGAGGATCAGGAAGAAGAGGGAGCTGAATCAGTTTTTCCTCATTTCTACACTCCCCTTGAGGAGAAATAGGGAAAAAAGGCTCACTCTCAAAGAAAGAGACATCCATGGAAACATAAAACTTCCGAGAAACAAGATCAAAACAACGGTATCCCTTTTGAGTGAAAGAATACCCCGGGAAGATGCAAGGAATAGCACGGGGGTCTAATTTTCCACGAGTGGGTGACAGATTTTAGACAAAACAATGACAACCAAACACACGAGGAGGAATGGAAAGAAGGGGAGCCTTAGGAAACAGAAGCTGATGTGGGGCTTTGCACTCTAACCAATGAGAGGGAATACGGTTGATGAGATAGGTAGCACAAAGGACAGCCTCAAGCCAAAATCGTTTTGGGACATTCATATGGATTAGTAAACCCCGGGCCACTTCAAGGAGGTGTCGGTTTTTTCTTTTGGCAACACCATTTTGTTGTGGTGTTCGGGCACAAGAGCTTCGGTGAAGTGAACCACGTGAAGCAAAAAATTCTGTGAGATCACTATGAAAATTCCGTGAGATCACTATGAAAAATTCCGTGTTACCAGTGCAGTGATGGAAGAGAAGAGGAGAAGAGAGAGGAGAGAGAGAAGAGAGAGAGCAGAAGAGAGGAGAAAAGATTGAGAGTCAAAAGCATGCTGGTGGCGCCAGCTATTTTGTTATATATACTAGGGCGACAACAACTAAAAAATAAAAGGGTAAAAGTACAATACTACCCCTGCGGTACTATACTTAGGAAAATACAAGCTTTCAACAGGCATCATGAAGAATTTCTCTATTTTCTTGGAAGGAATTTCAGTCAAGATGGGCAAAGGGGATAGAACTAAATTTTGGAAGGACCCTTGGTGTCTGGATGGCCCACTGGCTGATTTATTTCCTCTCCTTTTCCAGTGTGCTTCTAATAAAGATTCCTCAGTGGCTGAGAGTTATTGTTCATCTGGAGACTCTTTTGTTTGGACCCCCCTCTTTAGGAGGAATTTATTTGATGGGGAGTTGGAAGAGATTATGGAGCTGATGGACCTTCTACAGAAGCAGAAGATAGACCCTTCATTGGAAGATAAATGGTGCTGGAAATGGAACCCTGATGGTTGTTTTTCTGTCAAGTCTCTAGCTTCCAAATTGTGCAGCTCAGGTCCCATAGACTTTCCTGCTACTCAGATCTGGAATCCAACAAGTCCATTTAGGTCCAACTTTCTGGTGTGGACTATTGCCCTAGACAAATGCCTGCCCAGATCTAATCTTGAGAGGCGTGGCATTCAAATCTCAGGTCCTTCTTGTGGTCTTTGTGGCGCTCTTCCAGAATCTACAGATCATCTGTGTCTTCACTGCTCAGTCTCCTCTCAGGTATGGGAGCACTTTCTGAATTCCATGAACATCAGCTGGGTTATGCCTAGGTCGGTCAAGGAACTTCTGTGCTGCTGTAAAGTTAAAGGCCTAAGTACAAAAAGGAAAATTAGTTTGGAGGACCATCCCTGCAGCAGTCTTGTGGTCCATCTGGACTGAACGGAACAACAGAATTTTCTGTAATAGAGTTAAAAGTCCTGAAGAGCTCATGCAGAGAGCAGTGGGCAAGCTGATTTCTTGGGTGTCTGTTACTGAGGAGTTCAGACACCTGAATTTGCCTCTTTTATTTCGGTCTCAGTCCTGTTGGAGCTTGTAACTTGTGTTGTTCCTAGGCTGTTTTCATTGGCCTGAGCTCTGTTTGTATGTTCTCTTTGTTTGAATAAAATTACCTTACCTTTTCCAAAAACAAATGAAAAAAAGAAAGAGAAATTAGACCCAAAGGGTTTGAAATATGTTTAATATATGAGACATAACAATTAGTACAATTTCTACTTTTAGACATAATTAAGAATGGAAATAAAAAAAAAAGAATTTAATTATAAAGTTTTTTTTTTTGGGTGATGACACTGGATTTATAATGAAGCACATGGACCTCAATGTGGGAAACTCATGGTAAAGTGTAAACCACATAGCCTTTTAAGGGAAACCCTCAAGGCAGGTTTCTTGGGTTTGATCTTGCACATGTGTTCAAGAGTTTGATCTTGCACCATTAATTGTTCATATATGTCAAATAAACTGAGATATTAAAGGTAATACTGCTCGATAGTACATTACCAGTTCAACTAATAAAGGTAAAAAAACAAAGAGTATTTACTTACTTGAAGTTCACTATTAAGAACTAAGAAGGGCACTTGTTTGTAGGCTATAAATCCTTTGGAGCTAGCCATGGAAGCACTTAAGGAGATTCAGCTGCGGTTCTATAGAGACTTCCCCCCACATCCCAAGGAAAAGATTTATGGATTTGCAACACCTTCAACCATGAAACCAACTCAATGGTGCTGTAATTTATGGCCTATTATACATAAATATGTGCGCATAAACTGTTTTCTTCATAATTTCTAGTGTTCAGAGCCTCATATACTCTTTTTCTTTCTTATTTTATTATATTAAAGATCCTGGAGGTGGTGTGAATCAGATTCCATTTGAGTGTACTATTTCAGGGGATGTTAGGTATTTAATCTCTCCAACTGCAAATTGCACACTAAGACATGCATCGGCTGTATTTCCAATGACATTGAGAAATCTGAAGCCTGACTTTATGATTCTTGGTCTTGTGCAGGTTAACTCCTTTCTACAAGTAACCTTTCCACTCTTCTCATACGAAAAGTAGATAAAAGAACGAATTGAATACCCAACTTCCTGGAACTATTAATTTGGTTTACAGTGGATATTGAATTTAAAGGTTACATTACATGTTGAAAGAGTGATGATTATGGAAAGAGAACATCCAATCATGCTAGAAAATATATTGTAAAGAAAGTGAAATCACAACATGTGGACTGCCACATCATCATCTAAGCCTTGTCCCAACTTTAGGAATCCTGTTTCACCATTCCGTTCCATTCAGTGCCATATCCATTGTTAAATTATGGGCACTTAAACCATTTCTTATTACTTCCACCCAAGTCCTTTTCGGCCTGCCCCTAGCTCTTTTAGCCCCTTCAACTTGTAACAGAAGTTTTAATTTCCATGATTCCAAGTTCTTACTTGTCAGCCAGCTGGTTACTACTCTTGAATTTCCTTCTACAACTATATTTTTGTAGTTTAGGGATTTCCCCAATCAATTCTCAAATCTAGTCAAAATTCTAGTTTCAAAGAGAAAATGCACATCGATTAATTTAGCTTCAGTATGGAAGTTTCCTCACTATCTTGGTGTTTCCTCTATCTTTCTGATACCATTGAACTGCATTAAGTAATTTTATTTCTTTTTCTACTGGAGCAGATGTCACTAGTGCTCTTCAGGACAACTAAGCATTTTTATGTTCATGGAGCTTCCACATATAATAAATATACTGTGATATTAAATAATTAAATGAATGACTGCTGATCAAAAAACTAATAAAATATTTTAAAGGTGCGTTTAGGTGATTGCACAAGGCACATCCCTTGCTTGAATCCAAATGACTCCACTTTCAAAAGGTGTTGGCCTGGTGTGCCTAGGTGTACATCTACGCTAAAGTGCAAAGTGACCCAAGCATAAACTTTTTATGATTATGCTTTTTTAATTAACTCTTTGTATAGTCGTTTGTGTTTTAACACTTTTTTAATGTTCTATTAACTTTAAATTAACCTTTTATTGTTGTTTGTGTGCTGGTAGTGATCTATTAACTTTTTAAAGAAACAAAAATAAAGACCTTTTGAATACCTATAACCCTAGCTTACCTTAAGTGATATAAGTTTCATATGCTTGAATTGTTGAATGGTTGTAGCACTTTGGTATAATTTTTTCTTCTTTCTTTCTTTTTTCACTGAAGTAGGGGTCCATTGAAATGAGTGCTCTACCTCTTCACTCTCCTCCTCTTCCTTCTCCTCCTCCTCCTTTCAGTCTTCTGGGGAAGCATGTTTTCATCTTTCTATCTAGCTGTACATCCTGTTAAAAACAAGTACAACTTTTCCTTTCCTTTTTTAAATCTCCACTGAAGCTGCAGCCTGCAACTTTTGTACCTTAGGTCCTTAACCCATATAACCATTAAAAAGTTAAATATGGTAGGCCCTTATAACTTTTGTACCAATTACTGTTTCCATCAAAACAAAAGCTGGTGTCCATTAAAAAGGGAATATATTCAGAAGATTTGAAATTCCCATTGGCAGTGTGCCACTCCCATGGGCTTTTTTTTTTCCTTGTAATCAGTCCCATGGGCTGAAAGAATGGGCCTTACAACACCAATAAGAAGCACATGCAGAAAAATGATCCCAAACAAGTAAAAGTTAATAAATCCATCTATTTATCAAAATTATATAAGAAAAAACTTATTAATTTGCATACAAAACATATAAATAAATTTAATTGTATTATAATATAATTTTTAATAAGTGTGTCCACAAATATGTATTTTTCAGCCTTGACCTTGTTGAGTAAGACACCTGGAAATATGTCAGGTTCTGATCCATAAATCCATGTTCCTATTGCTGATCAATAACAACAACAATAATTCAGAGTAAAAGCTGTATGACACACTGGTTAGAAGCAATAAAATGGTCCTATCTGTCTAACCATGACCTTGACAGTGTTGACACATGTCAACATGTGTGCTCTGTAAAGCATGTCCTTGTTTTTCAAATCTACAAGGAGCCGTGCTGCATGAATTATATCTATGAAGCAATCAAAAAACTGAAATTATTTTGATTAATTTTTTTCTTTGATGCTCTATTCCAGCATGGTAGATGTGATTAAAAAGGTTCAGGGATATGTGGATGATATTAATGCCAACATAGAGAAGCTAGACACCCGAGGACCTATCTCAAAATATGTACTCCCTGAAGAAAATCTCAGGGGAAGGTGTGTTTACTTTATCTTCTCTTTCATGTTCTTCAACTGTAAACTGTTTTTCCTGTCCTGGCACCTGGAAATAAATTTTCATGGACCAGATTCATTAGGTTAAGAGGACGAGTGGTATAGTTTTGCTACTGTGTTTCTATATATTTACTCTTTATTACTATCAAGGTTCAAGAATATATGTTCTCTTTTGTCCAGACTTACAATAAGTTTTGACGAGGATATAACATCTGGAGTTGCTTGTAATCTTGATTCTCATGGCTTCCATGTGTTGTGTAAAGCAACCAAAGATGTGGTTGGACATGTAAAACCCTATTCAATCACCGGGAGTTTGCCATTGATTCGAGAATTGCAGGTTCATTTCCATCTCTTCCTGAGCAGAAAGCCTTCTGGAGTTCTCCACTAAATTAACTCCACGTTTTTTTCTTATGCTAGGATGAAGGCTTTGACGTTCAGACTGCAGGCTATGGTATGACAGCTTTTACTAATTATGAAATGATAGTTGAATTATGTTTTTGTTAATCACAATCTAAATTCTAAGAAATCATATTTTATAGGTGCAGTAACACTCTGCTAGAATTATCCTTCAAAGAAAAGCTTGGAATGATTCTCATAATTTAAATAACCTTATGTCAGTATTGGTATGGGGAAGAAAGCATAAAATCATATAACCCATATTTTAACCATTTCTAAAGTTCATTCTAGTGCTATTGTTAAGTTATTCGTCCATCGTGAAATGGCCTTGGGAATTTATGGTATATTTCTTGGGTATTTTGGAGGGAAGAAAAGAGAGGATCCTTGAAGGTTGATTTGTTCTCCTGTTTCTTGATTATCTAAATTCAAAAGTAATAGTACCAAGCTGAGTGGTAACAGGTCCTCCACTAGTTAGTTTCATAATCATTTGTAAAATATTAAAAATCATTGAAGGGTTTCAACTTTTTTTTTTTCTTTTTATGCTATGAAGGTAAGATTTTGGTTGAAACTAACAATAACTTGTCCCAGCTATATTGGGTCAGCTACATGAATCCTGTTTTTCCATTCTGTTCTGTTCAGTGCCATATCCATTGTTAAATTACAAGTGCTTAAATCATTTCTTACTACATCCACACATATCCTTTTCAGCCTGACCCTAGCTCTATTAGCCCCTTCAACTTGTAACAGATCACTTCTTCCAATGGGTGCTGTAGATGGTTTTCTATGCACATGACTAACCACTACTTTCTCTTATTTTATAACCTATCGGAGCTACTCCTAGGTTCCTTTGTATTACTTAATTTCTGACTTTGTCCTTTCTAGTTTTACACTCATCCATCTAAGCATTCACATTTCTGCCACATCATTTTTTGGACATTCTGTTTCTTAACTGCCCAACACTTTGCTCCATACAACATAGCTGGCCTCACAACTGTTTTATAGAATGTTAGAATTTTCCTTTTAGCCGAATTGGTATTTGCTTATCACATAAGGCTACAAATACACCCATCTGCTGTAATTCTATGAGTGACATCTTGAGTCTTTCTTTTGTTATGAATTATTGAACCAAAGTAACAGAAAAGGCCACATTGGGTCATTTCTTGGTCTCCAATCCTAAGTGTACCCTAGTTTACACTCCTATTATAAATTTATAATTAAATTTACATTGCATATATTATGTTTTAGTCCTGCTTTTTAAAATCTCTTGTTTCTAATGTTGTCCACAAACATAATTTTGCATTTAATCCTATCAATTAATTTTATTTTGAGAAATGGTGACTTTCATTCAAAAAGAAAGGAAAGGGGGGGATGCACAGTAGTTTTATCAATCAATGCTATGCCATCAGCAAACCTCAAGCAGCATGGGACCTCTTCTTGAATATGTTTAGTCAATTCATCTTTTTTTTTTTTTTTGATAAATTTTAGTCAATACATCTTTGAGTATTGCAAATAAATAAGAACCAAGTGCTGAACCTTGGTGAAGATCCATTCTAACTGTAAATTAGGTCTACATATCTATCTGGGACTCCTTTACCAAAACCCACCATATTTTTAATCAAAGCTTCAAAAAACTTACATATTTCTGTTGGTTTGGTGAACTGCAACTCCAAAAATTAAGGCCTTGAGTTCAGATATGACAAGCTAAAACATAATGTAAGACTTATTAAGACACTAGAGCACTTGATCAAATTAGGGTTTATGAGGACAAATAAATTTATTAGGACAAACTAGGAACTGTAATTAGGGATAATTTGGGAGAGGAATTAGAAATTAAGCTGGAAAGATATGAAATCAAATATGGTTTTAAAACTGTAGAGATCTCAAAAGGGAATAGAAATTGGAAAAAGTAGGATTAGAGTTGAAATTAAGGCTAAGTTTGGGAGTGCTTATTTGAAAAATAAGTGCTTATTCTAATAAGCGCTTACGATCGTTTGGTGAAAAAACACTTATTTAAACAGGGGTAGTTTAGGTATTAGTGTTTTAAAAGGTGTGGGAGGCATACGCCTAGAGGCGCTCTCAAAACGCCCTGAGGCGTATGCCAGAGGCGCTGACACCTCTGAGGCATACGCCTCTTGTACTTTTTTCATGAGGCATGCTAGAGGCGTATGCCTCATGCACATATTATATAAAAAGACAAAAAAAAAGAAAAAAGAAAAAAAAAGGAAAGGAAAGGAAAGGAAAGGAAAAGAAAGAAGAAAAAAAAGAAAAAAGGAAAGAAAAGAAAAGAAAAGTAAAGGGAAGGGAAGGGAAGAAAAGATAAGGGGAAAGAAAGTGGTTTGCCACTTTGCCCCCTGCCCCTTCGTTTTGCCCCCTAGACCCCCCCGCCCCCTTTTCGATGCAGCTCAATTTCTCTGCTTCGACAAGACCCCCCCTTTCAACTAATGTTATGCATCTTTATTCTTCTTAATATAAAATATTTTTATTAAAAATAAAGAAAAAATGAGACCCCCCTTCCTCTTCATCCTCATCCTAACCCCCCTCCTCTTAAGGAGGTTTACGCTTCTCGCATTATGAATTACGCCTCATGCCTCTAGGTAGTGGAATGCCTCGCGTCACGCCTCTGCGTTTTAAAGCATTGATAGGTATTTTCAAAATGATGTGATGGGCCAAGAAAGGCCAGAAAAGATATAAGCACTTAAAAATAAGCCCAAAATTTGGGATTCTCAAATACGTTCTTATTCTTAGAATAAGCACTTATTTCAAGCTTATTTCACAAACGCAATTAAGTGCTTATTGGTGTGGTCCCGGCCCAAAACTTAGCTTAATTCAAATGACTCAAACGAACATTTCAACTAGGTTGAGGGAAAGTATACCACTATGTTGGGATAGCCGAGGGAACTAGAAAACTGTGGCAGATTTCCAAGTAAGAAAACTGGAAGGGATCATTAATTGGAATGCACCAGTAGAGGGGAACGACTACAATACTTAGAAACCATATTGAATAGTTCATTCAACTGGGTACCAAGAAGTGCAAATGGACTAGATGACTAGTAGACTCTCTAGCTAGGGCAGGAATGGAAAGGAATCAGCTTGAATGGGGCTGTCCAGGGCTGGGTTGTAATCTGTAGCTGACTACTCTTTCTGCTGTAATTAGTCAATTAGAACTACTAGTAAGTGCACACGTGTTTTGCAGGTGGTAATTCTAGATGATGATAATGATAGTAATAATGAATCCAAAAATTTCTATAAATACGTATTTTTATTTTTTTGTTTTTATATGCTTTTTGCTTTTTATTTTTAATCGGATGCATATTGCAAAATCCAAATCTGATTACATAAACGCCTCATCTAAATATGTGATGGTTGGATCGAGTTGTGAAGTTTCAAGTATCATTGACAGGTCTACCTGCTTGATTAGATTCTTCTTTTTATAATATTTTATCTTTTTTAGTGTTTTATTTTCTATTCATTTATCAAAAAATGTAAGATTTAAATAGAGGGAATTGAATAAGGTGGAAAGTAATAGTTCAATTTACAATTTAAACCTCAAAATTAAATAGAGACTAAATTAAAAATTGACTATTTTAGTCAAAAGAAGTTCCACAGTCTTACTTAAATTATAGATGTCTTCAATTTTTTCTATATTTTCTTTATATTTCTGTGTAAAAATAATTCTGATATGTAACACTTACTTTTTGTTTAATATGATAATTAATTAATATTAAACATGTACCTGAATTTTTTTGCAACATTTCTGTATTTTTTCATTTTTGTATTTTTATGTTTTATTAATTTTTATTATTTATTTATGACATTAAATGTTAATACATTTGACCCAAAAGTTGAACTATTGATCTTTTCCAAATAGTAAAATAATTTCATTTTTGGTTACTTTTAAAGTATGTATTTCATTTTCATTATCAATAAAAATAATTTTTTTATTACACTTATTTTTTTAATTTGATTAATAAAAATATCATAAACGTGTCTATTTTTTTCTACTTTTTTGCAATTCTCTATATTTATTTCTATTTTAAAAATTTTATTACCTAACTATGACATCATAGGTGTATCAAATTGATTCCAATGGTTGAATTGCTTGGCCATCACTTGGATAAAGAATGTTTTTGTTTTTTAGCCAGGTTTAAAATATATGGGTTTATATTGTTAAAAATATTGACATAGATCTAATTAGTATCATTTATTGGTGAAAAATAACTTAAATATAGGATTTAATAAGAGAAAATGGGAGTTAATACCTTTAAGTATAAGGCTTAATGAAAGGGGATTAAATGATGTGGAAAGTAATAACTGAAGTTACATTTTCAACCCTTACAATTAGAGATGTAATAAATAAACAAATATGGACATTTTAGTAGCCATCAAAAGTTGGCATTAAATTTGTAATAAAATGACTTTCATACCCTTTATCAAACAAAGAAATAGAGGGTAATTTTAGTCCAAAAAAAACTTCGACGATTAAAATGTTCAACCTAGTTAATGGTTCTTAGGTTGCTTTCAAACTAATTCTAATTTTTTTTTTATTTATTTTAAAAATAGAAAATAGAAAATAAAAAATGATAAAAGAAACGTTCATATCTCAAAATCTTGTTCGATTATTCCCAATGGCCAAAATCAGTTAGGGTTTTTAGTAATTTCATTTTGATTTTGAGTTTTCTCATTTCTGTGATTCTTTTTAAGTTGTAACAACAAAAAAAATTGCAACTCCAATCAAGAAATTGAAAAATTGATGTAAGAGATGAGAGATCAAAACTGATCTTATATTAAAATTTGAGATACACCAATGAATCAAATGATCTAGGATTTGAAATAGATTTGGAGAGATGTAAGAAGAGGGCAAGTAGTGTTCTAACGATGGTTGAAATGTTGACTCGGAAACCGGAAGCTAAAGTGATTCCGTTTTTTGGTCGGTTTTTAAAACATTGATTTTAGTCAGAAGAAAGTTCCCCAATCTTATTTATATTTCTAATAGAAGTGTAAATATAGAATTATAAATGTGTTCAATTTTTTCTATATTTGTTTTATATTTTTGTGTAAAAATAATTTTGATGTCACACTTACTTTTTGTTTAATATGATAATTAATTTATATTATACTTGTGCCTGAATGTTTTTTTGCATTATTTATGTATTTTTTCATTTTTGTATTTTTATATTTTATTAATTTTTATTATTTATTTATGACATTAAATGTTAATACATTTGACCCTAAGGTTGAACTTTTGATCTTTGCTAAATAGTAAAATAATTTCATTTTTGGTCAATTCTAAAGTATGTATTTCATTTTATTATCAATAAAAATAATTCTTTTTGTTACACATTTTTTTAATTTGATTAATAAAAGTATCATAAATGTGTCTAATTTTCTCTATATTTTTGTAATATTCTATATTTATTTATATTTTAAAAAATTTATTACCTAACTATGACTTCATAGGTTTATCAATTTGATTCCAATGGTTGAATTGCTTAACCATCACTTGGATAAAGAACGTTCTTATTTTAGCCAGTTTTAAAATATGAGTTTTGTATTGTTAAAAATATTAAGATAGATCTAATTAGTACCATTTATTGGTGAAAAATAACTTGAATATAGGATTTAATAAGAGAAAATGGGAGTTAATACCTTTAAGTATAAGACTTAATGAGAGGGGATTAAATAAGGTGAAAGGTAATAATTGATGTTACATTTTCACCCTTACAATTAGAGATGGATTAAATACACAAATGTGGCCATTATAGTAGCCAGGGGCAAAGCCAGGAATTTTTTATGAGGGGGGCCAAAATTTATAGATGGGCCATAGCGGGGGCCAACCATTGGGTGAGAAGTGAGGGGAGGGAGGAAACTTACATAGAAAAATGTATTCAGTGTGCGGATTTCTAGACCATGGGGGGGACCATGGCTCCCTTGGGTCCCCCTAGCTCCGCCCCTGATAGTAGCCATTAAAGCTATTATAAATGACTTTTATACCCTTTCTCAAACAAAAAAATAGAGGGTAATTTTAGTCCAAAAAAAGTTTCACACTACATTCACACTTTTATATATAGTATAGATATGATTTTAGGTGCTGATATTGTATTATCTTTGAAMCCCCCTTGTACAAGCTTGGCCTGCTGCTTTGTTTTATGAGCAGTGAGGCAGCTCTAATTAATGAAAATTACTGTTGCTTATCAAGAAAAAAATGTTAAGACAGGTTTATATTGAGTATCTCTAAGGTTAAATGAGTAGGTGATTTCTTCTGTAGACAGCCAAATGGCAGTTTAATTTGTTAGCAAGGAATGACTTATTTGGCTTTGATATTGTGCAGTTGAAATGCAGTTATTTCTTCAAAAAAGCAATAACTTTGTTCTAAACTTCTAATCATAGCAGCAATCAAAGAGAATGGAGAAAAGATGACATAACAACCTAGAACCAAAGTAGGATTTCTAGGAATCACATCTAGAATAATTGTATCATACAATCAAGATTGCAGCTACAAGAAACAAWTTTTTATTCAAATTCATAAACATCATAAATAGTTCCCACCAGGATTTGCAGTCCTTATGAGTGAAACAAAACTTCCCTTTAGACAAGAGACAAAATGACAAATGAAAGACATAAACAACCTTATAAACTCAACTTCTCACTTTAGCAACCTAAGGCAAATAGAGGAGTAAGACAAAGATGTGGCTGGATCCCATGTAGAATTAAGGGTAAGAACATACTTTTTCTGCCAAATAGAACAAAAATATAGCAAATGAAAATGAAACTTAGCTTCTGAAACAATCTTGCAGCTATCTGTGTTTCTGCATTGCATGTGCCCCTGTGTGTTAGGAACCTTCTCTGCCTGTGTGCTTACAGTGGAGATGCAAGATACTTATCAAAAAAAAAAAAAAAAAACAAAAGAGATGCAAAGATACTTGCTAGTTGGGAATTGGAATAATATTGCACTCTTTATGATATGAGGGACCTCATGAGATTTTGGTTGCTTTTTATCTTTCAGTTTTAGGAGTAATGCAAATATTTGTGGGTCTTGGCAGTTATATGAAGTACTAGGTGTGGCAAAATAAGATCCATTGAACTAAGGCAGTCATTGATCTAATTGAATTTTGGTAAGATTTGCATCCTAGGCCTACAGCCAAATTTAGAGAGGTGCTCTTTATCTCTTCCCGAAATGATGTAATATTATTGTCCATTAATAAAATGATTTCTGTTATTGATAAAAAAAATTAGAGAGGTGCTTATGGACTCCATATTTAGGCATTAGCCACAGTTTATTGACTCTATTGTTATGGAGAACTAAGATAATTGTTCTTAATGTTGTGAAGTTGAAGACAAGATGGTTGCTTGATTGATCTATTTTAGGGTATTGTGGGAGAAAGGAAATTGTCTAGAGATCAGATCCTAGACTCATTTTTGTGAGGGCTTGAGATCAATTACTTCAAAAAGTTAAAAATAAATAAATAAATAAATAACTTGCATTATAGATTATGGAGTGAAGGGGAGTAGGGGACTTGAGCTCCAGTTCTGGGTGAAGGATATCAGTTTCCAAGAGCATTGGAGATGGGCATGGTTGTTAAAGGCTGGGCCCTATTTTCATGGTTGAGCACCTCAGTCTCATAGATTCCAAGGTTGGCTGATGCTCATTGTTGAACACATCAGAGGGTGTTGACATTGACCATTTGTAATAGCTTAAAGGTTTGCGCATTGCTTTCTTTTTGGAGAGGCTCAGGCTACATCCTTTTCATCAGCACACTCTTGCTCTGTGGAGAAATCCATTCAGGGGTTTATTTAAATGGTGCTTATTTGGGAAAACCCTATTTCTGATAACTCTTTAAAAAGAAAAATTAACATTATGAACTAATTTAGTGCATAGGAGTTCAAAGAGTATGATCAGATATTAATTAGGGGTGCCCTGTTTATTTAAAATGGGTGTGGCTAATTAGCCATCCTTTTTTAATAACAGCTTTGCTAATGGTCCTGTCACTTGTATCCAATTTTTAGGTTCTCACCAATTCCCTCGAAATTTGCTATCCTTATCTTGTGGTGTGCTTTCACATTAAACTTCCAAAACTCATAAACTTGATGCATATTTTTGCTGTGTGCAGGTTTGATGGCCACATACCATGCAAAGAATGAGTACTGCCTTCTCTCTGATATGTCTCAAGGCTTTGAAGTGTTTACAAGCATCATTTCCCAACTAGAAGATATTGACAGTTGAAAGTCTGTGTGTGGCTGTGTGCACTCACAGGTGCACGCCTATAACAATTTAAGATTGGCATAAATTATCTAATTTAAATCTGTAATAACAATAAGTTCCTATAAATATAGAAATAATACTTTTTTTTTTTTGATTGTTTATTCAGAAAGGGAAACAAGTAACAACACCATCAACCGGTTTGCCCCACTCAAAAGTAAATAAATAAATAAAGGGGTTTTATTTATTGTTTTTGCCACAAAATTATATTGTTTTTACCATAAAACTGCGGTTGACCGGGTTCGACTATGATATGGGAAAAATAACTGACCAATAAACTGAAATCACAAACGAGGGTGCAAATAAGCTGTTATTTATCAAAATTCATGGGTGGGTTTTGATTGGTCAAAAACTCTTTCCATATCATATCTTTTCTGTTTCATAGATTTTCCCTTTCTAAAAATCGTTGAAAAKTCAAAAAACCCGCTGACCCAAATGGTTGAACTGTTGAATCATTTGACTTGGTAAGTGATTCGTAGGTTTAAAATAAAAAAGAAAATGGAAGACACTGGTGATCTTCCTCTCTTCGAACTTGAGTCAGTTGCCATGCCATCTTTCTCTCTCTCTCTCTCCTCTCTCTCTTCTTTTTTTTTTACTTCCTTTTCAGCCAGTGTTTATTGTCTTCCCTCCTGCCGAAAACAATCATCATTCCACCAATCCCGCTGAAAGTCTGTACTCTCGTGATTTTCGGCCATGAGATTTTTGGATTGATTACTCACAAAATTTGCGAGGAGCTGGTGATTGGTGTATTCTATTTCTAAATTTAAATTTATTTCTATATAAACTCTTACCCAAAAACAGAATTTTCATCTCAAAAATTTTGTGCATTGCTGGATAGCCAGCCTATCAATGGCCGAAAATCATGATACAGATATATTCCCCCTTCTCTCTCTCCTTTTCTTCTCTTTCTTCATTGTTACCAAGATATCGTTGTCAAGAATGGGAAACTTTTGCAACAATGATGCAACCATGGTATACACTGTTGCTGCATCCTTCCATTCTCTCTTTTATAAATATAACGTCTTTATATTTTTTGCTATGACCTAATATGCTGGTATGCTAATTCAATGGTCAAGATGCGGTAAACACCTAAAATTTACCTTGACTGTTTTGACCCACTTGACCCGAACAGTCAAACCACTGACCTAAAACCAGTGACTAAATCTGTTCAATTTTTGGGTTGATTTTTAAATGACTGATAAGTCAAGTCCGATCCCTGCCTCTCAGTCAAACCCGAACAGTCAAACCTCTCTCATAAGTCAAGTCCGATCCCTGCCTTAAATGACTGCAAAATGCCAAAATGTGCTCAATTTTTAAGATAAAGAGCTGACAAACAAGGTGCTAGATTCCTAGCTTATCAGTTCCTGATAAAAAAATTAAAAAAAAAAGAAAGAAAATGACAGATTATGAACAAGGGATTCAATGTCCCCATCAGCCCTTCTATAACTGGTATACCATTTTGTTAACATATCAAGATTTCCAAAATGGTATAGTGCTCGTTTACAATGTGTTTCATTTTACATCCATATGAACAATAATCAGGCTCTGCAAACAATGTACAAAATTCCTCCTTAGCAGCCAAAGTCTCCTCTCAGTCGTCTCAACTTGAAGGGGGAAGTGCCTTGTTATATTGCCTAGTCCCTAGCTTTTAAAACTTGTCTGAATTCCTTCCTTCTAATCTAATCTGTTGGATTCTCTGACGCAGTCTTCGCCTATGATCATGAATCTTCCAAAGGCCATGACCCAATATGACCGCAGAGTATATTCCATGTGTGATTATGGGAGCTAGAATGTTATTTGTCTGCATCAGTTGACAATGAAAAAAAAACCTATCAAATCATGGCTCATCCAATTGAATCTACAGTACAATGAGAAACATTTGCTCTGATAACAAGCAAAACCAAATTACCTGGATCCATTCAAACCCAAGGTAGAGGGCCAAAATACCTTCCAGGAGGGGGGAGTAGATCTTTTTCATTTGCCTCCTTTCATACCATGCTGCAAGATTAGCATTGGGCTTAAGAAAAGGATATTTCAAGTGGAATACATGTCAATGCTAATGCTAGGCAGGGATAAAGATAATTTCATTGGTTTTGGTCAGACAAACAAACAATAATATGTATTCACAGAGAAGAAATATAAGCTAATCATCAAGCAAACACCAGATACATTAGCCCAGCAGCAGAATGTTTCACTGCAGTTACATGGTACCCACCATGGTACCACTCAACCAATGAAAATAGGATATACTGAACTAAATGGGTCCATTCAGTGCATGGGAACTAAATGCAAAATGTAAAGCAGGGAAAAGAAAACAGTTATGCGAAAAGTGGCTATCTAGAAGCTGTTGAGTGGTCTGAATGGGAAATTTTCTAATAATCTGCAATCCAAGGTAAGATGTTTCACGCCTTTCCATGGAGTGGAAAGGTGCTAAGCTCAGACATGGCCTCTATTCCGATATCAGCAAATGACCCCAAATCATTTGCAAAAGCTCAAACCCTTCTGAAGATTAAATAAAACAGTTACTGATAAAAAAGAGATTAAAGAAATGGAAAAAGGGGTATTGAACCCATAAAAAGCACAGTTAAGCAACCCAATGTTTTAACATTTGGTAGAGCAGGTAGCCTATCTGCTATCAATATAATGACGGATCCCGCAACTCAGATAGCATGCCATATCTGTTTGTAGTCCTGAGATCTATAATAGTTTGGTATAAGTTTCAAGTTCTGGGAAGAGGAAGAAACCTGCAAAGAGCTTTTTCAGATCTTCACGATGAGAGTGAGATCGTAAAACTGGTGCTACTACATAAGTAGGATCTGAAAGGAAATTGAACAAATTGATGTATCAAAATGAGAACATAGAATGAAGAAAATCAACAGAGAAGCATTATTTAAAACAGAGAAGAAAATTAACCTTTAGGGGAAGCAGCAACATAATACAGTGATCCTGTAAGTGCAGCCGTAATCACAGCTGCAAATGCTTGGGCAAATGGAACAAATGGAGGAAGAACACCAGTCTGTAGAGGCTTTCAAAAGTTAAAATATAATTTGATAGCAGAAAGTTCAAGACAAGGATGGTACACGTAAAAGGAATTGTCCCGTACCAAAGATGCAATTCCTCGAGCATCTGTTACCAGGTCAGTGCTCCTTAGGAAAATGTCAGCCAGTGCTCCCTGCATGTGAAGGGCTATGTGAGAACTTTGTTTTCCTAATGGAAAGAAGTCTGAAATGACATAATGCAGACATACTATAACAACCAGGAAAGGAAGTCAGACTATATCAAACAGAAACCACAACAAGAACAATAAACAATAACCAGAAAAATAAATAGACAAGAAACACAAAACCAAATTTATGTGGTCTGACATAGAAAATTAGAAACCTATATCTATGGGAAAGAGAGCAGCATGCATCCACTGTTGAAAATGGAAGAATACAAGTAGAATAGTAGATTTCAGGATGGGACCTATAACACCTAAACAATCCATAGTCTCTCTCTCTCTCTCTCTCTCTGGTGGATACATCTTTCCTTTCTCTACATAACCGGAGAACAATAATGGCTTAAATAGGCCCATAACAAATGGTTTCTTGGACAACCCATATTCCTCCATGAAATGGCCAGAATTTTATACAGGCCCCCAACATAACCTGAAGTTACAATAAAACCCTGACAGAATTACATAAGTACCTATTATCTTTCAGCAAGAAGACAAATCTAATAGAAGTTTTTCTTTTTCATGGTTTATATCCTATAGAAGTCAATGCATGGAAACAATTCTATCAAGAAATGGTCAACTTCGAAAAATCCAGGAAATAGAGATGTAAAGACCCCAAAATATCATGCTGCATTATCTGTCAAGTTGTAGGGTTCCTAATTTAGATCTATTGCTGAAAACCCACCAAGTTAATTCCTGACTTATCCAAGCAAAACCATTGGAGTTGAAGCGAAATAGAATTGCCTTGACTCAAAATGAGTGTTCATGGCTGCTTATGTATGAAATGAGAAATGAATCAATGAAATTACAACAACATTTTTCATATATCAGAGTCCTGTCAACTTGCCCATGTCAAAGCTTTACCAGATAGTTGATTCAAGTGCCCCTTATCCCATTGTTTATAGGAGTGCAATTTGGGCTGGGTTAGCCTAACTCTAACCTGAACACAACCTAAAAAAGTCGAGTTGGGTTGGGTAGGATTGAAAAATATGAACCTAACTTACTTCAGGATGGGTTAGGTTTAAGGCCTTGGGCAACCTGACCCAACCCGAACTTGGCATCTCTTCATATTAGTATCATTGTATGTATAAATATGAATGTATGCATGTATGCATGCATGCAACTATGCTTCCATGAATGAAAAAACAATTTCTATTCTAATACGAGTATAGTATTCCAAAAGTACTATAACTTTGTGGTTGTACATATAATAATATGCTAAGATCAGTAAACCTTAATCCACCAATCTAAAGTTCAAAAAATAAGCACGTTTCAACAATTGTAGAGAAAAAAAAAGAACATTTCAACAAAATGAAGTGAAGAAACCGAGCCAACCCAAGCCCAACCTGAAAAAAGTTGAGTTGGGGTTAACCTCAACCCAACCTAACCTGGTCTGACTTGCACACCTAACTGTTTATGGAGAAGAGATGCAGACTATTTAGAATTCATTACATATGTGTATGGTCTTATCGAATCTAGTATTAAGCAAAATTGTAATTTATGGAAAAAAGGTCAAAATTGTATCAAGCCTAATTGTATCTGGGAATGTAAGTCTTTAAAAGATCAAAATTAATCACATATGGGAACTCACCTGAACAGCAGCACGGTAGAAAAGCTCCTCCCCCACTGAGCTTGCGGCAACAATGAGTATAAACTGCAATGGCATAGGATCATTAAATCTAAACATTTTTAACAAATCATAAAATGCAGATGATATAAGATATGTTACCTGCCATGGTGACATCCCATAAAAGAAGCTCCGTAACTCCTCATCCTCCACGTCTCTGATGGCACGAGCATGAGGTGATAATTTTACAACTTCATCCTGCAAAATTAAGCCAGCTTGCTTGTAAGGACTCCACATTCAGATGGAAAGAAAAAAATAAAATAAAAAAACTATAGGTGAACTGGAATAGTTATGATACATGACAGTTTAGATTGCCCAATAAGGAGGCATTGTCGATGTTTACAATAAAATGCATAACCAATTTGGCAATATGTGATGAACATATAGATCCAGAAAAAAAAATCAATTTATATGAATAATTTGGTTTTAAGAAGTGACCGACATACATCTAGTATAAAGAGAAGAGCCATAATTGGAGGAGCCGCATAGCCAAGTCCTTCTAAAATGGCATCTAGTGATGGATGAAAACCTCCAGTACAATCAATTCCAGTGATTGAGCAGATGAATCTTCCTGCTAGAGCCATTGCACTGTATATGCCTGATTTTTAAACAAGAAATAGAACAAATCAGAAGGGTGGGTGAGAAGAAAAGATTTCTTTCTTTACAAGAAATTTATTTCTTAATGACCAATAATAAAAAATAAAAATGGAAAATACAAAATTAGGCAACGAATAGGACTCTGTGATATATATATATATATATAGGGACCCAATCGATACAAAATAGCAAGTTCAAATTCACTTAGGCACTTATTATGAAAGAGAAGATCAGGAATGAATAACTCAATCATCACAGCATTAAGACCTTGAATACTGGTATGATCGGTTGTTTAGTTTCAAAATCAATCATAAGGTAAGATAAAGAAACCACATATTGAAGGAAATCAGAGACTAGAAGAAAGTAGTTCCAACTTCAAAAAGCTGTTTGAAGAAGGAATCTTTCTTCTTGAAACTTTCAATGGTGCTTCTGCATGTTACAATCACATTGCTTTTTTCTTTTTTACAAAGCATATTATGGTTGTTTGATCCAATAGAGTACAACGTTTGTGTTCAAAATACACATGCACATGAAGATATCATATCTAGAGCAAAAGAACTCACATGTCCCTTACAGGAACAGTAAACTCACACAACCACTCCAAGACTCTTTAGATGGGTAAGCCAAGACATTGATGTTTGTTCATATAAGCCCTGAACCAGATGCCACTGAGGAAACAAATAGTACCTTAAATGCCACTGTTGAACTTGGTGCTGCAGGAGTAAACAAAGTTCAGATGACAAAGAACTCAAGGAATAGATTGCTAGCCCTAAGGCAGCCTTAGCAAGAAAAGAGGGAGAACCAGAGTGCCTTCAATGTTCCATATCTAGTAATCCTGAGAAACATAGAATAAAGGCTGATGGGTCATCATCTTTACATTCTAACCAACAATTTGGAGGGGATATGTCAGGTGGACAGGAGCTTCAAGCAGCCTATGGAGGATGTAGGAAATATAGAGGTTTGTAATAACTCTGCAATAAGGCCAAAGAGGGGAAAGCTTTGATCTCCAAGAGTACTCAATTCCCCTCCTTAGCCATCTATCAACAGTCCTGTACTAAATTTCCAAATGGATGATGAGAAAGATCATGCTGTTGAGACTGGGTTGATAAGGCCATGGTGAACAAGCAAGAAGCTGAAAATCGAAATGAAACCCACTAGGAAATTGGAAAGGAGAGAACAGAAAGGTACCTGGGCTTTTTTACCAGAGATACCTACCAAATTTATAAGTATAACCACAACAACCATATAATAGACTGACAATAAACAAAATGGAGAGCCATTATTATGGTTTACAATGAAGTTGATTTGACATGGCTACAATTGATGATTCTGATGAACTGGAGGTTGCAGCTAGTGACTCATCTGAACCAGATTTGCTTAGGCAATTTAATCTTACCAAGCTTACCAGCATACCCAATGGTGCCAGGTCAAAGATCAAGAAACCTCATCCTAAGCCAGCAAAGATCCTGGAACTAAGAACTTCAATACTCAAACTAGGCCCTTCACCATCATGAAAGCTGTTGAATGGGGTCGGTCCATCTTGGCAGTGCAGTGCACAACAGACAGTTTCTATTGATGGAGAATGGCAAACTGTAAATGGGACTCTTACATGAGAGAGAGAGAGAGAGAGAGAAGTCTTAAATATAGTCCAGCAATAATTCCTGTTGTTCAAATTATTCTGGTGGTGAACTGGTGATATGGATGGATGTGGTCTCCCACCTGTATAGTTTCCATTTGTTTATGTGTTGATTTATTTGAAATTTTTTGTTTGTTAGTGTGGTTGGTATCAACTAATAATATGTATGTATTGGTGAATTGGTCCGTATCAATTGACACGACACAAGCCAAGTTTTTTTTCTTTTTTTTTTTGAGTTTCAGATTTAAATGTCCATTAGTTACACCATTAATTGTGCTAATTATGGTCTTTTGAGATTTCAAATTTCAAACTAAGTCCACTAGTTACCACCATTTATGTCATCACTTGTGGATTTTCAAATGACTAACTAAAATAACTTGCGTTCTGATAAACTTGGGGGCTACATGTAATCCAAATAAATAATGTTATATATTAATGTTCAACTTAAAAAAGGAATGACCATTAAAATCAATATTTTATAAATATTAATGAAATGAATGATTTATCAAACTACTAAGAACAGAATAATTATTTTAGTAATCAAAATTTATGAATTTGCACATGATATGTATCTTAGAAATTCTAATGGATCTATAATTTATTAACTAATATTTTACTTTGCAATAAATAACAACATATTTGTTATTTATCAAAATGAAAATATTATTTACAAAATATTTAATGATTTAAGATAGTTGATTTATTTTTTGTTAATACACAAAAGTAAAAAAAAAAATGGAAAATAATTGATTTAGTAATCAAGATATAATAGTTGCATATGATTTATGTCTTGAATAGATAACAACATACCAATGGCTTCATACATTTAGTAATTATTAAAAAGTTATATAATACGCAACTCGGACTATTGATTGATGCATCATCGGTAAAGTTCGTATGATGTATACGTGCTATATTGATATTAATTTATTTCTTTATATAAACTATATATTAGAATATACATTTCTTATGTATTTATATCATATTAATGGTTATTTTGACTCTGGATTCAGTGTTATTAATGTATTTGTAGGATTTGTTGGGATTTCCCTAATGTATCCAAGCATATCTATATCTTTCCACCTTGTCCATGCAATTCCGAAAGCCAGTAATCAAAGAAAATTCCAGAGACAAGAAAACTGAATAATTTCAATTCCAAGTCTAGATAGACCAATAAGAACAGAAAGCGCTCAAACAGTAAAAGACCAATAGAGTCCAACTGAGCCGACTCGCCCGAGTCCTGAATCGACAAAAGTTGCATATACCAAGAGAGACATAAAAAAAGTAGAGCGAGAAGAATCCATTTTAAGAAAAGAAGGAAAAGTTGAATTTTTATTGATTAGAACGCTTAATTGCAAAGGTAAATCCGTTGGACCTTATTCTTGGATCAACACAAACTCACCAATTCCATAGCTGAGCCTCACAACAGCACCCAATTTGTCCCAAACCGCGAAATCTGCTTCTTCAAATCTCTGATTAAAGGTCGTGACCTCCATGGTAGGCCCTGCAAATCCTCTGCTTTCTCCCTCCCGTGACGCATCAATCCTATCACTACTACTCCCCTCCCCCGAGGCCCTCACGCACAGACCCGAGACCCTAACACCATCGAAGCTTCTCTTCTTCCTCACATGCACCTCACTCAACTTCGAATCGAAACTGACACCTCTACCCACAGATGAGCAAGAAGAAGTAAACGAAAGCAGAGATGGATTCCGCACTCCAGAGATCAACGACAACTCCATTCCAAACAGTTTTTACCAGTTATTCAGCCTGGAATACCTGAAAACTCCACCTCGAAACCTCAATGAAAATATGCACCTGCACCAGCTACCATAACTGGTGCATTTCTGTTACCCTGAGCAAATTTGCTGGACTATTGTTTTTTAATCATGTTGCAGTCAGAGATCCCATCCCATGAACAGCAGCACAGATTGATTCTTTTTGGTAAGTCAGCATAGTTTGGGATTTGAAAGACTCAGAAGTCGTTGATCACGTCCCACGTGTGTCTGCGATCGATCCTTGATGGGCGGTCAAGATGTTATGTAGTGACGAAAAGTGGGTCCCGAAAAATCATCATCTTCCCATCTGGCTTGTCTTAAGTTGTACCTCAGTGGCAGTGTTGTATATATAAGTTTATTCGGAAGAGATTATTTTTATTGGAATTTTGACGGATTTGGATGAACTCGGATATCCACTTTGACCAATGAATGAACGCCGCGTGGATAAAAGGATAATATTAGAGTATTGTTACTGGAGAGGCGATGGGAGAAAACTTTTGAAGGGGCACGATGTAAAACAGCCACGTCTCCCATGATAACATGAATATAAGGGTGACGTGGCGTCTTTCTACCGGTCGCTGGTCTAAATCTCCTTAATACGCTTAAACAAAGTGAAATCTGATATTGTCACGACTTTATGTGATAATGGCAGTTGGTGATGTGGATTTTTTTTTTGGTTAAATAGAAAAATCTTAGACTGAGTGCAAATCCCGGTTGAGTGCATATATGCATTGTCGTTGGGTTTTGGTAGTGTTTGACAACAATGCATTTGTGTACCGAGAATGAAAGAAAACAAATTTGCAAGGCATGTTTATACCTAAAATGAGAGGTAACTCTATATTCGAAAAAAAATGAACAAAACATTTGCACTCAAAGTGATCGTATATTTCGATATTGAATGCATCCATTATAAAAAGTAAATTTATCAATACAAAATTAAACCAACTTTGAATAAAAATGCATTTTTCATATTTGTATTTACACTCTATTTGCATTGTTTGCAGCCTTATTTGAAAACCAGCCAAAAGGCACAAGCGGCAAAACAATGTCATAAGCCAAGTGGGGAAAAGGCAAATAAATCCAATCATATCCGATTGAAATCCAAATTCGATTTGGTAAGAATTGGACTTGGATACTGATGGTGCACAATCCGGTCGGTCCTAGCTGTCAATGACCTCGTCTCTGAATAAAGCTACAAGGAACCTAGAACGGAGAGGATGAGGAAACTCCGGGGGAACCCAGTGAGATTGCTCCGAAGCTCAAGTTAGTATTCTCTCAAAGGCAAGATAAAACCAAATGGCGCAAAGTTCACATACCTTGTTCTTGCGGGTAGGGAGCCTTTTATAACCACTTCGCGCACTCACTCCGAGGCTTCTGTCAGGTCGGGTATGATTACTTCTGTGCTTCTGCCAGTTCGGGCGTCATCCCCTCTGCTGGGACAGAACCGCCACTGCTCCTTGTCAGAGCCGTCTCTGCAACTGGAGATGGCGGGGGCAGGTGGAGGTGGCAGGTGGCCGTTGAAATGCGGCTGTCAAGCTTCATATCCCAAGTTAGTCATGTGCGTCGCCCCTGGATATGGACACTTTCGGTGTCAGGTACGGTTTGTTCAGTTCGGTGTCCTGGGGGCGAAGTGCTGGAGTGGTGCAGGAGGCAAAGTCTTGAGTTCGGAGAGAGGTGTGGCCCGAACTGCCATGGGGCATGCCAGTTCGGGTTGTTGCCCTTTTGTGTTCATAAGGCTTGGGGCCTAAGGGAGAGCTTGGGCTTCGTACTGGGAGTTCGGGCTCCTTGCGGAGAGTTCGGACCGCTGGTTCCTCCCTTCGGAGCTCATGCCTTGGCAAGCTTTTATGTCGAGCTATTGCCTTTGCCACGTGTTGAGTGATTACGAGGTCGGGCCAAATCTTCCTTCATCAGATACCTCTTTATTTCTTAATAAATCGGAAAAGTTGATATATTTAATTAATGGATCAAATTCGAATATACCCCAATCCTATCTACAATGACATGATCCAATCTATCATTTATAAAATATTATATATTATTTATATATTATAGACATTAAAATTTTGATGGACTTATAAATGGGCTTTACCCCCATAAATTCAAATATGTCCATGGGCCTTAATGTGGGACCCTTCAGCTTGAACGAAAATCATCCCCTCCATCACCTTCTTCAACCAAGCGTCATCACTCTTCAGTTGAAACAACTTTGTCAATCTATACCTTGGCTAGATCAAAATAGCCTTTAAGCTTGCACGCGGTCCTTTCATTCAAAGCGGTAGGTAAAGCGATGCCTTCCATGGGACTCTTTGATCATTAGCAGTTGTAGGTGCAATTGAGTGAGGTCCATGAATGCTAGCTCCTATTGCTACTTGGTGTTACTCAAAACACTTGTGCAAGCAAGAAGGGTGATGATGCCTGGTTGAAGAAGGTGGTTATGGAGGGGGTGATCGCCGCAAGTCATCTTGTTCTTCGTCGAGGAAGATGATGAACAATGATTTTATTCTTTTGTGTTTTTTTAGTAAGAATGTTCATCCAAGGTTAAGAAAAATCATTGAAAAAAGTCTCCATAAAAAAAAAAATGTTGTCACTCCCTCAATCTATTTAGACCTATCTACTGCCTTTTGGAAGGTCAAAAAAAGAGGTTTTAATTAGCTAGAAGAGAGAGTGGAGAGGAAAACTTCCTTTGTGGCTTCAGCCATTCTGAGCTATGCAATGTCTTGTTTTCTTCTCCCTGAAAGGATTATCACTGATTTCTCAAAAGTTCAAAAAGAGAGAGAGAGAGAAAAAAAAGGTGAAATTTGGTAAGTTGGATAAAAAAGTTATGCGAAAATTAAAGGAATGATGGTTTAGGGTTACGACTTATGAGAGCCTAAATCCATTAACCTCGCCTTATTGGCAAAGTTAGCTTGGAGACTATGCACTAACAAAGAGTAGTGTCTTTGGGTCAAAGTTTTGAAGCCAAATACTTTCCTAAGACAAATTTCCTCCATCCAATGGATCTTGGGGTTGGAGAAGTGTCTTAAATGGAAAAAGAAGTCTTGATCAAGGGTTCTTGTTGGGCAATCAATTCAGGTGAGGAAGTAGAGATTTGGGCTGTGCTCCTTGGATTGATAATATTAATGGATTGAGACATGGGCCCAAGTCCTGGGTCTTTGGGTCCCTCAAAGGTAAGTGAGTTAATTAACCAACAAGAGAGGACCTAGAATGTAGAAGCTCTTAACGCCTTTGTTTCCCCATGATGTAGTGTAAAAAATAACAAAAATCAAGCTTTTTCAGTTTAGTTGGACTGACGCCCTTTGTTTGGATGCTAGGGCCTAAAGGCTTTTTTTTTTTTTTTTTGAAAAGAATAAAGGCACATTCTTTGTTAAATCTACTATCATGCAATTAAGAATAACTTTGGGGAGATTTTTAGCTCCAACCCAGATAGGAAGAGGTTTTGGCACGCTATTTGGAAGCTCCCGGTGGAACAAAAAGTGAAATCCTTCATCTGGAAGGGTGTAAATAATGCCTTGGTTGTTAAATGTTAACCACCTATTATGGAAAAGGAAAATCCTTCCCTCCCCCTTTTGTTAAGTGTGTCAAGAGAAAGAGTAAACARTCTCTCATACTCTCAGCGGTTGCCCTTTCGTGAAGAGTATCTAGTTTGGGGGAAATTTGGATTTGAGAACTAACTGTTATCCTTGAAATTATGATTTTTCCTTATGGCTGGAGAAAGTTTTTCTTGACTGCTCTAGAGATAAACAATCCAAAGCTTACAATACCTACTACTTGGCCATGTCTTTATGGTTTATTTGGAAAGGAATTAAAGAATAACTTTATTTTTTTAGAATGCTGATCTGGACCCTTTTTCTCTAATAAACTCTATTAACAGGAATATGCAGGAAAAGATAGAGACATTGCTGGTTCACAATTAGATATGTTCATGGGCCAGACTTCAGGCATGATTTATACTATGTCGGGCTCGGGATTCGGACCAGGCCCATTCAAATTTTGGCAAAAAGTCAAACCCAAGCCTGACCCATGAACAGGTTTACTCACAATCAGCCCCCCAACACTTGACCATTAGGAAGCTATGGTATCTTTTTGGATTCCTCCGAACTTTGGATGGTTAAAGGTTAACTCAGATGGAGGTTTTGTTGACAGCAATAAAGGCCCTTTTGGTGTTGTGATAAGAAACTCTAGGAGGAGGATTGTAGTAGGGTCCCGTGGTTCTTTTGAAGCCTCTTCACCCCTCCAAAAGGAATTGATAGCTTTTTTTTTGGAAGGTCTCAAGTTATTGAGATCTGCAGCCCTTCCTTTGCATACGGTTGTTTTTGAAAGCAACTGCAGAAATCTCATTTCCTACCTTGAAAGCTAGATGCTGATGGCCCAGTTGTTTTGTGATTCCAGCTTAAAGATGCCAAGGCTTGGATTCAAAGGCTCAAGTTAAAGATCCCATAATAGCTCTTTCACCTCAGTGATCCCTAGTTGGACACTCGAAGTTCTTTCTTCTTTTCGAGATTTCTTTGTTTAATTTGCTTCTTTGTTTTTTGTTCTCTTGTTGTGTTTTCTATTTTCTTGATGCATGTTCTTGTTATCTATATTCTGGATTACCAAAAAATAAATAAAGGAAACAAAGTTTGTGACTAACATGGTATTGGGTCGCCAGACTCGCCATAGTCCACAATCAACATCTAGCCAGCTCTTGAAGCCCATCCCCTAAATTACGTGCTTATGCTTTAGCCTTTATGTTTCACAGTCACAAGTTAGGTTGGTCTTGGGTCTGTCCATTCTTACCACAAAGCCTTTTTTGTTATGTTTCACATTCAAAGGGTAAAATACAAAAACCTCCCCTAAAGTTTTCAGACAATCATAAAAACCTCTCCTAGAGTTTCATTTCAACAAACACCTCCCTTGAACTTTTGAGAAATTCAACAAAAACCTCCATTTTGTCACTGTCTTAGACGGAAAACGTTAGATTGATGAACCAGTTTTTTCCAAATATCCATTCTACCCTTTTATAAATTATTTTACATACAAAATTACTGAAATAATCGCATTTTAACTCAACAAAAAAAACATATTTCTGTAATTTTGTATGTAAAATTACTGAAATGATTGTTAAAAGAGGTTTTTTTTGTTGAATTAAAATGGGGTTATTTCAATAATTTTGTATGTAAAATAATTTATAAAAGGGTAGAATGGGTATTTGGAAAAAATTAGTGCATCAATCTAATGTTTTCTGTCCAGACAGCAACAGAAGGGAGGTTTTTGTTGAGTTTCTCAAAAATTTAGGGGAGGTATTTGTTAAAATGA